TCCATCCAGGAGGTCCACTTATCGACTTAGAATACGCAGATGACACAGTCCTGTTTGGTGAAGACGCTGACAAAATGCAGTCTTCTGGTAGCACTGAGCAACAATGCCAGAATGTTTGGAATGCGCTTTTCTCCCTCTAAATGCAAGTTGTTGCTTCAGGACTGGTCTGCGTCAACACCTGAACTAAGGATAGGGAGTGAAGTAGTCGAACGCGTTGACAAATTCACTTATCTTGGAAGTCTGATCAGCCCTAATGGGTTGGTGTCTGACGAAATCTCAGCACGGATTCGAAAAGCCCGTTTGGCTTTTGCCAACTTGCGTCACCTGTGGCGAAGGCGAGATATCCGTCTATCAATAAAAGGACGAGTATACTGCGCGGCAGTCCGTTCTGCTTTAATTTACGGCAGCGAAACATGGCCATTAAGAGTTGAAAATACTCGTAAGCTATAAGCGTTTGACCACAGATGCCTTAGAAATATTGCCCACATCTGCTGGGATCATCACGTAAGTAATAGTGAGGTTAGACGCAGGGTATTAGGAAATGATGGTAAATCAGTTGATGAGGTTATGAATCTTCACCGACTGAGATGGTTGAGCCACGTGTTACGTATGCCTGAACACCGATAACCACGACGTGCAATGCTAACCGGTGTTCGGGATGGTTGGAAGAAAGTTAGGGGCGGCCAAACCAAAACGTGGCATAAGTGCTTGATTTCACGAACTTCTAGTCTTAGCCATGTTGGTAGATGCAGACTACTTGGTTGGGGTCCGTACGACTATCGTAACCAAATGGTTGGAGACTCGGTGACATGCCTCAGAATTGATCACAATGGCGTCGGTGTATACATTCTCTGTCTTCCTTTAAACTAAGAGATTAAAATCGCTTCATATCTTTCTTTCTAAGAACCAATTTTTTCTTCTTGCACTATATCTCTATATGCAATCTGTCTCTTATATATTACCACCTTTGACCTAACCACTGCTATGAATCCGGTGTTCATATTGTTGTGCTGATGCGGTATGGCAACCTGGACCGATGCACATATGTGCCTGGTCCTACGTTGTAGCTAACTGATATATATATATATATATATATATATATATATATATATTGTAGGTACATGCAATCGGTGAAGCAGTATTTACAACAATTGGCTCACAACCCTTAGGTCGCGAGCCGAAATGCCGAAACATTTGCTTCGGTATGGGTAGCTGCGTAGTATTGCAAGATCACACAAGGAAAACCGCGGCTCGAATAACAGTTCATGGACCTATAATTCGGTAAAAGTTCTATTATTTAATTAATTCTTTTTAATAACAATTCGATAGCAATACTATAACTGTCTAACCAGAGGTACCTGATAATAATAATGATAATAATAACAGTAGTAACAATAATAATAATAACTAAAATGAACATTTTTGAGTAGTAATAAACAATAACATATATTATGTGATCCCAGTGAGTAGAAATTCGAATTTTTGAGGCTTTGTGAAATTCAAATTCACTGGGATATCATATATATACAAATATTTTATCACTTAAATTTTACCCAATGATCAATTTGTTTAATATCATCATGTCGAACATTGGAATTTATACCTATTTTTTTGGATAGATTCATATTTCTCTGATTCATTTATGATTTTATCAGTTATAGCGTGACTCTTGACCTATATCATCAGTGATAAACTGTCTTAATCGTAATTATGTTGACTCCATAAGCCATATATTATTTTAAGATAACAGTTCTGAAGACATTCACTGGAAACTACATGATTATGAAATGGTTACTTTGACGATTTTGTTGTTTATTTTATAGATAAATATTGCTTCAGGGCGGGACTGAGTTAACATCTAAACTAATGGTAGGCCATAAAATAGTTGAGCGCCTTTACCGCTTCACTTATCTTGGAAGTTTCGTCAGACTTGTTCTATTGACGTGTGACGAAATATCAGCATGGAATCAGAACGCTCGGTTAACTTTTGCTAATTTATATCACCTATAGTGTAGGGAAGATAATCATCTGTCAACCAATGCGTCAGTAGGGTGCGCACAAGTTTGATCGTTTACCAGTTATGACTGCGAAACGAAACCTTAAAAAGTAAATGACAATCAAAGTTTTCTAGTATTTGATGGCAGATCTCTTCAAAACACTGCTCATCTTTGGTAGGACCACCGAGTGAGCAATATTGAAATTAGAGGCAAGGTTAAGGGTAAGAGTCTGTTTGATAGGACTGTAACTTTATTCACTAGCGTTACTTAAACATGTTATTCATGTCCAACTACCGCCTATCTAACGCACAATGTTGGGTGGCGTAAAAGTGGACTGGAAGAAGGCTAGTGGTGGTCAAACTAAGATTTGGTATTAATTCGTAAAGTTATTGACTACTGAACTGACTCTTCATCGTAGGTGTAGACTACCTGGTTGAGGTCAGAACGACTAACAAGTCCAGTGATTGGAGACAGTGGGTGACAGCTTATAATCGGTCACAAATGCATTCTTTGTCTACCATTAGATACTGGGTTTTGAAAATATTTGATGCTTTTCAATCCGCAAATTCATTCTTGCTTCTTCCATTATATTCTGTGTAGTATTATTTTGCTTTTACTGATACTTTAAGATTTATCTTGCTAATTTGAGTAGATGCACATTCGTAGCAGTCTTTTACGTTGCTTATGACTGACTGGAAAGGAAGTTACAAATAACTGATGATACCATCGCATTGAACGTGGTAACCTAGTGCACCAGCAATGAAATTATATGTGAGCCTTGATGATTAATGCGGACATATTAGTTTTTGGAGCAGCGGATATCAATATTTGAAGATAATATAAAAAATTAATTGCAGTGCTGTATTTTCATCGTGGATATGATCTATTTTGCACTTTACAGTAATTTATTTCGAAGTGTGCTTATATGCTTTTCTAAAATTCGGCAACTTTACAGTTTGATTATCATGCTTCAATCCCTAGAGTGAATCTAACGACAAGCATTTTCGTTATTCGAAAGGCGGAAACCGCTTGTATTTATTCCTTATTTGGACCAACAATTAGTATTGAACAGATAAGGTTGAAACGAAAATTAGGTGACATATGAATATTAGAGTAAACTCAATAGTGACAGATAACATAATACGTATTCAACGAATAAAGATTTGTATATTCAGCACTACGCATACTTAAAGTGTCAGGGTTAGCGTTATCGGTGGGCCATCAGAATCAAAAAGCCACCTCTTTTGAGTTGAGTTCAAACACGAGACACAGTGTATGAAGGTCAAATGTTGTGACTACTGGGATATTGCCCCGATTACGATAGAATTACCAAAGTCAATAGCATTTCTAGTAGACAGATGATTGAATTTGGAATAATCAGAGCGTTATATAGATAAATAAGGCAAAAAGAAATATACAACAATGAAAGTCGTAACACTTCTCCCAAGATGACTTCAGTAATATTGAAACAGTAAGGATTTACGAAATTTGCGTGTCGAAAATCGTTTTTATCCTTAGTCAACATAAGCCTGAACTACAAAGTTGTGCAATTACTTGCCTTCGACGTTTGCAATTAAAATTGACCACATTTTAGTTAAATTTATTCAAGTATCGATTCAGAATGCCAAGCATACTGGTGCAAATTTCATCCTTCGACGAAGGCATTGCAATAGCAACAATACTGTCGAAGCTTTAAGAATCCTGTAGTGACCGAGAACACAAGTGGGGGCAATCGAATACATATGAACATAAAATTACAGAACATCTCGGTAAATTCTGAGAACCATACAGTAAATTCTTCATTTTTAATATGTCAATCGTCTCAGACCTCGTTGTTCTTGCATTTCTATACCGATTGCTTTCTGTTCCCATTCTTTCCTCCTCGGTCATCTCAACCTTCTGCTGACAGACTGTAGTGTCAGTTATTATGTTAAGCACATATACCTTATTCTAGTTTATGGACAAACCAATCTACTCATTCTACTTGAGTCATATTTTGACCTTGTCAATCACTCGCTTATCAGTCTTGACTGTTTTTATATGACCGTATATGTGTGTACACTTCATATCCCATGTCTCTCACATGTCTGTAGTTTATTTTGTCTGCCTATAAATATGGCGTAACGCCTGGCTAAAAATTAGTTGGCTCACCAGCCATCTCCACTGCGCGTCATCTCGCTTTGTTCTATCGCATTCAATTTACATACAAAATATGTGTATTCAAATGCCATTCTCGTTAATTGACTTATCTAAATTCCGTCCGTTATTGACTAACGTGATTTAAGTCGATAAATGTATACGGGGGTAGGTGATAACGAACATTCGTACGATGTAAATGGAGTGAGATCCACGGGCCACTAAAAGGCATTCTATTCCTGTTTAGTGTTATATACTACTTATATCGACATAAGTAGTACACGTGGCAAGACAGTACTAATAGTGCATACGGAGTAGAAATAAAAATTTCAATTCTTTCGAAATATAGCATTCCAATCGACCCATTCCTTCATTAGCTGACAGAATCCAGTAATTCCCTACAACGTCTTAAAACATGAATATCGTAACTTAAAGGTATCTTAGTAGCACAATATTAAGTAGTTGAAATAAAAAGCTACCGATGATCTGAATGATAACGTAGACGTTGAGTAGTGAGAAAACAGGTTGGTGGATCTTTGAAAGTTGGTAATAATTATCATTAAAAAAACCCAAATGAACAACTGAGCATCGATAATAAGCTAGAATGTTAGATAGAACTCTATTTTCAACCATCCTTCAGACTAATCGCTTCTGAATTACAGGTCAAACAGGTGTAAGTAAAGTTTTTTCGGTAAAATCAGTTTGATGTGCTCTTGTTATACATACACAGTAAACCATTTAAGATGGATATAGTTACATTATGTTGTACGAGACAATAATCATAATGAAGAATAGCTATGAGATATGATTTGGCAAGCGTGAAAAATGCATTATAATAAAAAAGGAGTACTACTTTCTTATACTCACAGGCAATTGTTCAACATTTCCCAACAATAAATCGACATCTTCTTGTGTACGATCTGATGGGAGTTTAAGAATAGATTCCCAAAATGCATCACGAATAGACTATTTTATAAAAAATGAAGTTTCGAAACAAAAGAAGTAAAATTACGTAATACATGAATAAAAAGTTATGTCAAAAATTGAGATTCTATTATCTAAAACTTGCGAGTTGTACGCGACTACTGGACGAGTAATATACATATATATCATGGACCAACACCAATGAGATAAATATAAAACACCAAAAAGCACAGGACAGATGTTTTGTTTTGGTACGCGAATATCGAACAATGTGCACCTACAACCGTGGCAGAAATCAAACTCAAACCCTTGAGACGTCGTAGTCAAGGTGTTGATGTTGGGCCATTGAAATGATACTTGGATTTTCACAGATACTCCCTTATTTAAATTAGTTGTCTAACCAAAGTGACTTCAGCAAATAATGTACTCTCTGCCTTCTCGTGGTGGAGGTGTTGTTTACGGAATTGAGGGGACGAAAAGCGAATGTCCGGCGATCTAACCGGGTTGGTGGACACGGAGAGTCCACCTAGGGGAGTTGGGAAACACTTATTCCAAACCAATGGTGCACATGGGCTCCAGTATCCTGAAGGAACAAATGGAGTATGAACCAATCGTTGGTCACCGGCTACTATGGGACTGAATCTCCTTACGATGCTCCACTGGAATGTGGATCAGACCTTCAGGTCGAAGGCTCCGGGTGTGGCCCCCTAAGAAAATCACCTACTTCAGTTTGGGCACCCGGGGAGTATCCCAGTCCTCATACAAATCGAATGATTTATGTGGCGCATATCTATTTGGTGCCTCCTTGTACTAATGTTTATGTGTTTAAATAAACAAATAAATCCGTACATGTAAAGAAATCTAAAATCAAGAAGTATCTAAGGAAATATATATATATATATATATATATATATATATATATATATATTTATCACGGACTAAACGGGTTACAAGTAGTTGTAATACATGCTAGAGGAAATCCAGAAACAAAGCAGGATAAGTACACTTTGAAATTAAATACACTACAAACCTCATGACTACTTGACTCAAGCTCTTCGTCTTCATCCTCCTCCTCCTCCTCCTCATCATCATCATCATCATCATCATTATCATCACCTTCAGAATCCATACAATGGCTATTGTCTGACCCAGTCTTATGCCATTTAGGATAGTTATAACCTATCTTTTTGTTGCGTTTTTCTGGAGATTTTAAAACGCACGAATGAGTTGAACGTCCATGACTTGAATTATTTTGAACGCCTCCAGAACTAAAAGAATGTGTAGATGATGTGTCACTTAAATATAATGATTTCAATGAATTAATAGCATCAGCCTGTGTACTCCTGGTAGGTCGTCTTTGGAGCTTGCTTTGGTCAGAATTCAGCAAAGATGGGATTTTTAATGACGAGCTGATACTATGAGACGATCCCGAATAACGATCATTTGATAAAATTTCACATGAAGTATCATTATCATTGAATGACACCAGTGCATGATCTAAAGAATGCTAATAAAAAAGTTATTAAAATGAATAAATGTTGAGTACATTTCGAGTAGGAAATACTAGATAAATATTACAAAATAGCCATAAGCAGTATGGACAATAAATAATAACTAAGTATTCATAATATATGCATCTTCAACGATACTTCAGAGTTATGTCAAAGTTTAGTCATTAGAAATCAGTGAAAATAATTTTCAAATGCAATGTAACTCATTTAACCAAGTACAGGTTATTTAAAATTTGAATGAACCATAAAATTCATAATAATAACAACTGTGACGGAATCAATCTAAAAATTAGCACGCTGTAAAATCTAATGTGATTCAGAAAAAAGCATTACCTTTTGCGGGTAATACATTCTTAAATTATGAAGTTACAAGTAATATTTGAACTGTCAAAAGAATTAATCACAGAGAGAAGTCGTCATCGCTTTAGCTTATAAACAGTGTGTGATGTTACACAAGTGACTAAGTTAAGTCGAGATAGGCCAAGTACTTAAAATGACAAAAGTCATATAAATTATCCAGAAAGAACATAAGATGAAATAAAAAATGCAAGATGAATGTAATCTATCAAAATTTATCACGGTTATTAACATTGCCATGCTAATCAACGTAATCAACATATGATTAACCACCGTATGTGAGTCAAGCAGAAGTGATATGACTAGTGATACTACTGAGTTACCCAAACTGAAGTAGGTGGAGTGGGGTTCGAGAAGACGGTCCATTGGGTGAAAGCTGGGAGAAATAACTATCAAATCACTTCTTAAGAGCACTAAGATATATCGTTCTCAGTACGCAGTTGTAGGGATTGTTGAATTTTTGATTGAGATCATGAACCGATTGATGTTAGACCACCATTGCAAACCTGGGAGCAGTGGACGGCCGTTTCTTCCTAGTATGGGACTCCACAGCAGTGTGCACCCACGGTTTTGCTGGCAGGGTCCGAACCCATGACCTTTGGTCTTGCGCGCAAACACTTGACCTCTAAACCGCCGAGCCGGCATCCAATGGTGTTAGTGTTTAACTTCAACCAATCCACGAAATTGTGCGGCCATCTCCCATTGTCTGAGGTAAACAACTGTCTCTACCTGACATGGATTAGCGCCACTGGTCATAGCTTCTCATTAGAACTTCCAGAATGACCTCTTGAAGCTAGTCACTAGTGAGCACATGGTAATTATCAGTATGGGGTTGTGGAGATTGTTGGTCTAACATCAATCGGTTCATGGTCTCAATCAAAAAATATGTCGTTTTGGTGTTGTAGACGATCATAACACATCATTCTGGGAAAATTGTAAAAACCTGGTAGCATACGAACACAAAATTTGTCTAGGAACTTTCAAACACGATAGTAAAACTAAAGTGAGTAAACAGGTTCGAGAGGGATGATATAAATTTGACAATTTGTATCATTCAAAGTAAATGACCCTTGAAAAAGCGCAAAACTTGATGAAACTTACCCTATGCTTGGACGGAGCCATTGCCAGATGATGCGTATTAGTAAATGATATGGGTAAACTATGATTGTCCAAATAATCGATCTTTAATAAAACAAAAATATAAAACAATTTTTAAACATTGAATGAGAATGCATATGATGAAAGCAATTATGTAGTTAGGCCATTAAATTTTTAGACAGAACATACGACTTATTCTTACAAACACTTTGATCCCACCATAAAGTATGAAGAAGAAACTTATCCTTAGCTACTTATTGGCTTATGATTATTCAAACCAATGTAGCAGTTTTTCCCTAACGAGATCATTCTTAGAAACCTAGAAACAGATCATTTGGTTATATGTAAACAACAATGAAAAAATCATTCTTAAGATTTAGAAATAATTTTACTATTATCTACAAACCAATACAAAGATTCGATTCCATTTGAAGCAGAAGACGTAACAACCGAATAAGATCAGTTTAATGTAGTTGGTACAATAAATTTTATTAACTGAAGGGAGCACTATTTATTATTATTTTATTTATTTATTTAAACACATAAAATTGGTACAGTGATGCACCAAATAAATATGTGTCACATAAATCATTCGACTTGTGTGAGGGCTGGATACTGCCCAGGTGCCCAAAGCGAAGCAGGGAGCACTATACAAAGGAAAAAATAGATTAGTAGATTGACAGTATGATAACTGAGAACAAAAAAACTGGCAGAAATAGCAGTACGAAAGCCAGAGTATTTCTAGAAACTTGCTACCTAAGTCAATTTGCAATTAGGAAACATGTCGATCATTTGAACAAATATGAACCAATCAAATAGTCATCAAACAACAAGTCAATCGAACTGCAGATGCAGTAGAAAATGATAAATATCTAGAAGCAAACAAATAAAGTCGCTAGAGTGGAATGTCGTCAAATATCAAGCATTTTTCTATCAGAAACGTTTCTTTTCCTGTTGAAAGAGCATTAACTGTACATCATTTCAGATGAATCTACATCACTGAAAGTATAGAGAAATGTAATAATATGTTTGCTTATTAATGTGAAAGAAATTTTATTATTATTATTATTATTATTATTATTATTATTATTATTATTATTATTATTATTATTATTATTAAAAAAGCACATCCATAGGTGACAAATTAGAAATAAGTAGAAACTAACATACCAAAAATAAAAATGAACTTATGTCAACGACCAGTTAACAAAATATATCGTATATGATGACCTTTATAAAAAATTAAATGGATAGTTATGATAAATTTATATAAACGATGAATCCAGAACTACTGAGAAATGCTGTAATTTCCAAAACATTGATCAGAGTTAGGTAAAAAAGAATTTTTCAAACAGCCATTTAGAAATTTTTAAACCTCATGTCTGAAGCTGGGTTTGATTCCCTGTAAATCGCGTCCTCAATGGCTAATTCTCAAAGACAATAGTTTTTATATAACCATTCATTCGTTTCATACTGAAATGTTTTCCGCAAGAATTACAATATACCTTCTGAATTATCTTTTGATTTGACAAGGTTGGAAGTTTGTTGTGGATAGTGGTAACTTGTGTTGCGTTACTATGTCAGGCATTCGAACTGAGTAGCAGTTAGATTAGCTGTGACGGTAATTCGTACGTACAAATTATCATATATGACTGTAAGGGCGCTGACATAAATTATCCAACTACACAAACTTTGCCAAAATTAATGAATTCGTGAAATGGAATGACTAATTGAAAGTTGACTGTATTGATTGATGATTCAATTTCGATAGCTAGATTTAGAGACCATTTAAAATGGAGTTACAGATGAAATTTGAGGTGATAAGCTGACAAAAATACAGAGAAAGAAAACAACAATAATAGCTCACCACAACAAGATCAGATGGTTCGAGGACAAGACAGTCATTACGGCGATAAAAATTTCCATTTGTACGGGTTCCAAAACTGTGAATAAAGAACACCAAAATCTAATTATATATATAATGGTCGTAAAATTAAGGTTTTTAAAGCTGATCTCATTGGAGAGTGGTTATTTCATTGAAAAAAATTCAAAAACCTACCCCCCTGAAAATAATTTGGGATGTGATGAGATCATTGCATATATTCAAATTATTTTGAGAATTTGAATATCTCATCCGTCATCAAAACGGTGTAACTTTCTATACAACCTTAACTAAGCCTGACATAAGCCTGATGTCCTAGTACTGAGCACGACATACGCGCCAAAAATTTTCGAATCTTGAGAATTGCTTTGTTTGAATGAATTATACGATCACCTAAATCTGCGAACGGAACGAAGACACAATGACTACATAAGCTAACTATTCAGATGCATCCCAGCCCCGCTAACTAAAGAGAGAAGTCCAGGTTCAGAAGAGGGAAAGTGTATTCCACAATCTGCCAGAAGCTCGAACAACAACAAGCACAAATCAAGCATATATATACAGCACAAAAATGTTCTTAGGAAACGTTACAAAATAGCATATTAAAAGAGGCAACGGACCAATAGCATTTAAGGTCTTCTCAAGTGGGAAATATGATATGAAGATGAAAATGGAGGCTTTCGATGAGAAAACAAGAAATTCAATTTTTTAAAATATAATTACAAAAATAAAGCATTTACTAATTGAGCTCTGGGGATTTATCATCCGAAACAGGACTTAGGATGTTATGATAATTAAACCAATTAATAAAAGATTATTATATGAAAATTTCTGTCATTTAGTTCAAGTCAAAATGTTCATTCCTAATGACGTTGGGGAGAACTGTGCGATATGTATATCTTAACTAATGCTTCAGTTATTGAAACCCCATTAAATATTACAACACTCGTTAAGATTATATGATATTTTCTTATTCGGTTTTACAGTAGTTTTATAGTTACGAATAGAGTTGGGACACTGATGTCATAATCCACCTAAAGGTATCGTCAATGTTGGGGTAACTTGGAAGCCCAGTAAACTGTTCCAGCATTGTCTTATGAATCTATCATTATTGCCTCCTTATCGAAAATAGACTTGACAGTCATCGGTTAATCTCTTCAATAAGCACAAAACAATATCTAGTTCTTATATACTACATATCTTAATCCCCTTATTTTTTTACTACTCACCTCTGATTTTCATCATTTACAAAGCTTATGTTCAGTTTGCATCTCATTCATATTTATCCTCTTTAAAGTTAGCCGACATAGATTTTCGGAAAGTCTATTAGGTTGAGCATTACTGGTGATATCTAGTAACTATTTTTTACATATTTCATATGAAGACAAGTTTAATTATAAAATTCTAGCGATTTAATCAATTTTTCTGTAAATAACATTTAAGAAAACGGTGAAAATACATCGAGAATTAAATACAATAATACTTGAGAATACACCAAGAAGCCACTTAAATATTTTTTGTAAATACTGATTAAAATAATGCTATTTCAACACCAAATTATGAAAATGGCTACGATAAATGGGAATTAACTTCAACGGCAATCTTACAAATCATAAATCATGATGTACACATGAAACAGATTTAATTAAAGCCTAATTTGAATTGATCACATTTACACTGGATGTTATGAACTACACATGAATATATTTGGGGCAGGGGCCATCAGAGGTTTTCTTATCAGCAGATGATGAGTAATCAGGTGGCTGAACACAAGTTATGATTCTGAATTCATGTTTATGCTAAGTGACCACTTCATAGTAGTAACAAATCGTAGTATTTAGTTGGGAGTACTGACTGAATCCTATCAATCAAATTACGGGATGACCACAAGTCTATGCAACTAGGAATTTCGGTGTACTTTACCTAATATTGATTTGTTATAACTTTATGATCAATAAGTGCATACACAATTCAGTCCCGTAGATCAGTCGCAAACAAAGTAACTCAAAGGTAACGGCTCTGATTGCTAAATAGGTTTAAATCTCACGAGGAGTACATCATTTTCCTCAATATTGCAGATGAACTAACTAGCATGCGACCTGTGTACGGTTTTTTCAGTCGATCACCACCAAATTCATACAAAAGGCAATAAGAGCAGTGACGTAATACAATAGAAGACCATGATACCAACAACGAATTACATAACATTAAAGAAGCCAAATTAAGTGTTGAATTTTCTCAGAATTACTCACTATGATCGAGGCAAGAACATGGAACTTTCAATTAATACTGATCCGCTTATCAAAATAAACCAAGAATCACACCATTCACCAGTGTGATACAACAACATATCGCCTGGAACACGACGATAACGAGCGTTACGACTGATTGCGCGTAATTCATCATCTCGATATGCTGATGATGGGCCAGAAAGATTCAACCCTTCAATTGTACGAAGATAACCAAATATGAAGGCATTCTCCTGAAATTGTTTCAGAACACATGTTTGAAGGGGATTACTTACGATTCCAGATGAACAATTGCAAATTTGTGATGACATAATTACAATTTAATTAACTAAGAGTCTATCAATCTTCAATTAAAAAAAAAACTGAATTAAGTAATTTTTATTAATGTCTTTACTTGGTTTTAAAGTTGGAATTGAAGATAACCTATTTGTTACAGTACGAAAAAGCATGAAAATGCAGGTAATTGTAACAGAAACAAACTAAGACTTACAATGAAAATAACGGTCACGATTATTACTACTTTCTTACAATTGTCAAAAAAACGCGAATTCCCACAGACATTAACACATTTACTAGGATATTTTGAAAAACACCAGTGCCATAAGTGTAGTGTGCAGCGATAATATTTGGCTTTCCAATTTTTGGAGAAATTACGATAAAGTCAGTTCATAAATTTGATACAGATTCATAAAGAGAAAGCTACTTTTTCCTGACACATACTACTGACAAAATCAACTTCCAGTAATCTAACCATCATACTGAATATAAAGTTGATTTCTCCCATATATGATCTTTTTTTAAAAGTTTAAAACATATTTTCTGTATGTAAACAATGAATGAGAGTACCACCAGAACTGATGAAATCGGATTAGCAAAGTAGTACACACTACTTTTAACATACTGAACAAGTTCCGCATTTTCACTAGGAGAAATGTCTGATTAGTCCTTTTACAGCCAACCAGTGTGACCAGACGATTCCAAAAAATACTAAGTTTCCCATGCAATATATATATAATTCTTTTGTCTAGACCGTTATGGGCTTTCGTTCAGTTGAATCATGACGTATAGCTATTAAGGGCTATAAAAAGGAAACAGTAGTAAATAAAACACAATACCATATTTAAATCCTGAAAAGACGCTCAGAATTTTTTCCTGAAAATCGTATTTGTTGGTGCGCAAGCTTCAGGAAAGACAGGAAAATTTTGTGGTGACCATATTCTACCGAAACTATTTCGAGAACTCAGTTTTGAAGAAAACGGTAACACAACTTTCTGTCGTTCTGGAGAATCAATTGAATAATTATGACACTTAAATATTGTCACCGAGTTTAAACACTAATTTGCTCTTATTGAAATACAATCAGTCTACGTAACTTGTGTTTACTGAAGCTTTCCAACCTCTCCATAGGGTTGAAGTTCGAACATGTCTCCTGGAGAAACTTCATGGAAATTTTGAACACCATAAACGCCGATAGACGAATGCAAGTGATCCCATAACATGAGGCATGATAACACATCAATAAAACGGGTAATTTCGATTCTATCATCCAGAAATGTAAACGGCGCTACCAGGTTGAAATTTTTGAATCCTATAGCGTCAAAGTCGATCCAGAAAAAGCTATCGTTTGTTGGTTATGCAATGAATGGCACTACATACGTCCTTGGAACGAACTATTATACTCAGAAAGAGTATGCTACGGTTTCGTCTGCCAACGTTCCAATATGTTCTTAGATTGACATAGTGACAAATATTACTGTTATTTTCAAAGGCGTATATAATTGGTTGAATGTCAATAACGTAATTAAATAGGACTGCTCAAAATGCATCCACTGATCCTTTGAAAATTTTCTGCAAACCGATATGTGAATTCTTTCAACTAATTACCCAAAATTGTTAACCTGAAATAAATAAATGCACATAGAAGATCCCACATTTGTGTTGGAACCGTTGGCAAGATTGCGACCTAATTATTTGGCTTCACAAGAAGTGGGAAGAGCAGAGACAGTAATAGAAATGTCCACATCAATACCCAACTATGTACTGAGGAAAGTGCTAAGCATGTACAGAGACAAATAGCTGAAAAGAAAATTGGTGACGCTAAGCCCAAGGTTTCTAAGCCGAAAACTGAAGCACCATCTGCTAATAAACTCAAAGCCCAAGGAAAAGAAAGTCACCCAGCCAAAAAAGCCAGGGGCCACTGTAACAAAGAAGCCAGTAACTACAGACCCGAAGAAGCAGGCAGCACATATTCGCTATGATATCGTACATGGTGTTGAGAAAGGAGCCTTGGTACAAGTTGGGAATAAGAGTAAGGGTGCATCTGGTAGCTTTAAAGAAGGCAATGCTAGTTTTAGACAGATTATGTGTAGTTGGGACCAGAATAAGATAGCAAATACTCTTCTGGAAGGAGGCTGTGAATGGCGCTTTAACCTTCAAGGAGCTAGTCATCGAGGTGGTGCATGGAGAGGCATTATAAAGTCAATAGGAATTCTGCGATTATTAATGTTACATAAGCTATTGACGTACGAGTCTTTGAAGAAGTTTTTAATAGAGGCTGAAGGAACACTGAACAGTCGGCCACTCATGAAGCTAGTTAGTGATTGTCAAATAAGTCATTGTTAGTTTATAGAGGTGCATCATTCAACGAAGCGCAGATAAGCAAAACGTGCTTACATAACAGGATATAGAAGGAAACGCAATAACTAGCCAACCTATTCTGGAACAGATGGTTACGAGAGTACCTACCAACCCTTCAGGCGAAATCCAAGTGGTTGGACATGAGAAATATACAGCTGAAAGATTTAGTGTTATTGAACAATATGTGGTCGAAGGCTATAGTTAGACAGGTCAATTATGGTCCAGATGAATGAGTCAGAAGAGTTTGACTGAAGACAGTAACCGAAGAGATCAGCCGGGATATACGGACATGTGCCTATTGGAAGAGGCCGATTATTTGAGCGCGACAGTAGCGAAGCCTGGACTAGCCAATCAAATGGTTGCTTAAGCTCCCATCACGTCAATCTGGTCTCGTGTGTCTGTAAACTATCCCTGTTGTATGTGACCTGCCAACTGAAGGACACCATTATCCTGTTATATTAGTGTAACTCGTAATTTTTATTCATTTCGATAAAACACGCGTTCCAATTGACTATAGTTCCTCTAATTATTATCCTAATCAAATTATTTTTACGTTTAGAAACAGATAAAGTTTGAAGTCTAGTTGTCCTTGTTCTGACTATAACTTTCATACAGACTATCGGGTCGCCAGTATCGCGTTTACAGTTCTAGTAGAATATCTATAGGGCAAATTAAATACAACAATAACCAAGAGTATTCATAGAAAATAGGAAACTCTATGCAACACAATCATACCAATAAACTGGACAACAAACCAATAAAGTCGATCAGTATCTTTTTAAAAATTAATGCCCACATTATTTGCAAGCCTGTGGCATAACTGGACATAACGAGTTAATGAAAAAGAAATAGCATTGCAATTTTTCTAGCAATTTTCTGTTATCATACTAATTGATATCAAAGTCAGACGAAGTGTTCTCAAAGAAATGAATGAGTGAGACACGAATGATACCTGGGGCGATCTATGAGCTGGTACAATAGCCAACATACGAATGAAAGTCGAATCTTCATCCATAATCACCTACAGAGAAAAATAACGTAAATAACAAAGAAACTGATTGAAGAAAGAAGAAAGTACATGCAACTAACGAGGTTGCCTAAAAACAATCATATTCAACTGGGTTTTATGACTATTGAATGAAACAGTAAGAATGTTAAACTTCTAAATAAATAAACCACAAAAACTGAACGGTAACTAATTTCATACACAAATAGTGGTACCACTAGGCACCAAACCAAATATGCACCACACAAATGAGATGAAATTGTGAAGAGGAACAGAAAAGGAGTAAAATCAAAAACAGATAAATGGACAAAAATGAGTGAATGGGTTCAGTATATAATATTCACCATTCGCCAGGTTCTAGAACACAGGCATACTTATCGGCGTCCGACAATGGTGGTCTTTCTTGACTTAAGAGCAGCATTTGACTCTGTAGACCGACAGGTTCTGTGGCAGTGTCTGTCATTGAAAGGTGTACCTCAGAAGTACATAAACCTTGTAAAGGCTCTTTACTCGAACACTACCAGTCGAGTCAGAGCTTATGGCGAACTGTCATCTACTTTTGCAACCTCAAGTGGTGTCCGTTAAGGCTGTCCACTTTCTCCTTTTTTAACTTCATCATAGATCTACTGATGGAAATAACTTTCTCGTCGACTGAGTTATCGGGTATTGATCTCCATCCAGGAGGTCCACTTATCGACTTAGAATACGCAGATGACACAGTCCTGTTTGGTGAAGACGCTGACAAAATGCAGTCTTCTGGTAGCACTGAGCAACAATGCCAGAATGTTTGGAATGCGCTTTTCTCCCTCTAAATGCAAGTTGTTGCTTCAGGACTGGTCTGCGTCAACACCTGAACTAAGGATAGGGAGTGAAGTAGTCGAACGCGTTGACAAATTCACTTATCTTGGAAGTCTGATCAGCCCTAATGGGTTGGTGTCTGACGAAATCTCAGCACGGATTCGAAAAGCCCGTTTGGCTTTTGCCAACTTGCGTCACCTGTGGCGAAGGCGAGATATCCATCTATCAATAAAAGGACGAGTATACTGCGCAGCAGTCCGTTCTGCTTTAATTTACGGCAGCGAAACATGGCCATTAAGAGTTGAAAATACTCGTAAGCTATAAGCGTTTGACCACAGATGCCTTAGAAATATTGCCCACATCTGCTGGGATCATCACGTAAGTAATAGTGAGGTTAGACGCAGGGTATTAGGAAATGATGGTAAATCAGTTGATGAGGTTATGAATCTTCACCGACTGAGATGGTTGAGCCACGTGTTACGTATGCCTGAACACCGATTACCACGACGTGCAATGCTAACCGGTGTTCGGGATGGTTGGAAGAAAGTTAGGGGCGGCCAAACCAAAACGTGGCATCAGTGCTTGATTTCACGAACTTCTAGTCTTAGCCATGTTGGTAGATGCAGACTACTTGGTTGGGGTCCGCGTGACTATCGTAACCAAATGGTTGGAGACTTGGTGACATGCCTCAGAATTGATCACAATGGCGTCGGTGTATACACTCTCTGTCTTCCCTTAAACTAAGAGATTAAAATCACTTCATATCTTTCTTTCTACGTACGAAATCTTTCTTCCTGTACTATATCCTTATTGCAATCTTTCTTTTATATATTACCACCTCTGAATTAACTACTTTTATGAATCCGGTGTCCATATTGTTGTGTTAATGAGATATGGCAACTTGGACCGATGCATATATATGCCTGGTCCTACGTTGTAGCTGACTGACTGACTGACTGTATATAATAGGAAACAGTTCAGTAAAGAGTACAAACAGAAGAATCCTTTTATTTAGGGAAGTCCCTCTCGTTCCTTTGAGAATCTAAAAGAAAACTACAGTAGAATAATCGTTGGTTTCTATTGAGTCATCTCTGATAGTCTCAAGCAACTGAGTTGCTCCATCCCTCGGGCCCCCAACATGATGGACCGGCAAACGTCTACCTTAAACAGTTTTCTACCATGCCGCGGCAATATCATAAACTGACCGCCTCACTTTTCCCGTTTCATCCTAGTATCGGCAGAATTCTCTGGGATGACATTTATGACGCTGAAACTGGTGTTTCAAGGTGGCAGCACTAACTGAAATATTACCATTGACCAAGAACAAACCCTGCCAAATATCCGCATTACTAACATAACTTTTCTATCGGATGTCGGCAATCCTCCGGAGACAACGATGATTAAACAGAGTTGCCCGATATCACCACCTAGAAGATGTCAGTACTCAAAAGCCTAGAACAAAACTGCTCTTGCCGATGCATTGTAGACCCGACCTTTAACAGCCAGATGCATTATAACGGTGCCCAAGATGTCCCAGTGCGGTATAAGCCGCTCGGGCCTCCAGTATAAGTAGATTATTTTCATCACTCACGCCATCATTAATACTCACACAACTAACCACATACGAAAACTTTCGGCTAATTTGAACGGCTCACTATCAAGAGTGCACGGATAGGCTCCTGCCAATCTTGTATTTATTCATTTGAACATAAATATTGGTACAAAGGGATACCGAATACACATGTGCCACACAAGTATCTCGATTTGTGTGTGGGCTGTGATACTGCGCAGATGCTCCGACCGAAGCAGGTGGTTTTCTTAGGGGGCGATGCCCGGAGCCTTCGATCTAGAGGTCTGATCCACAAGACAATGGAGCAACGTCAGTAGGTGCAGTCCCATGGTACTCTGTGACAAAGGATTAGTTCATACGCCATTTTTCCATTCGGGATTCCATGTGCACCATTGGTTTAGAATCAGGGTTTTCTAAGTCCCTTAGGTGGACCCTACATACCCACTGACCCGCTTTCGTCCTCTCAATTTCGTAAACAACACCCCCACTGAGAGAAGGCAGTGAGGAATGTATCGTGGATAAATCTTTCAGTTGCCAAACAGAATAAGGCTGAGGTTGAATGTAAAAAATAATTGTACTTATTTCTGCACTTTAACTGATAAGTTCTGCGTTAACATTTAGGAGCCTAACCTGCTAAATTTGCTACTGTCCATTTTTATAGTCTCAAGGTCGAGTGTGGAAAGGGGATGTACTTCAGCTGTCATATGAAGGACATTTAACTGTGATGTGGATACTAGAGCACGTTTTAATCAAAATCACATCGTCCTACTAGAAACAAGACGTGTGAACTAACGGGACTGGACTAATCTGAAAGGGAATGCTTCGAAACAAAGGTAAAATCAAAGAAACGAAATTGGGAAAGGCTGTCAACGGTGACTAGACCAGCGGATAGAAACTAGTGCCGTAAAAAGGTAACTGCTAATCACAGTAAGACAGAGAACACATGCTTCTATCAAACTGCTATTGACTTTGACTTACATGACAAGGTGTTACCAATCACACGTTTTAAATTCCAACGCGATGCCACTCATGAATATTACACTTTACTGGCGAATTCAATGTAGTTGTACAAGAAATCATATATAAACAAATTTTATAAGGAGATGCAAATTACGGATAGTTGCGGAGATGTGATGATAAGTATTGCAATACTAAGCCACAAAGTTTGAATGACATCAGTAAAGCCTAACTAACTTCCGTACAATATATAACTAGCAATGTAAAATAATATGGAGAAAATAGACCATTTAAACCAATGTTCTAGTAAATTACTTAGAATTGAGGTGATGCTGGTGAGAATAAAGACTATACGAAAAAACTACATTGAGTATGGGGATTTTTGACACATCTTTACCAAAACCAAAGGTAAACTACGAAACGTGGGTGTGATGTAACAATCTTTAAAACTCAGAAGCAATTTAAGCGAGACTGTAGTTTGTGGATGAACCAATAGGATATAAGATAACAGTTCTAGGACTATATTAACGAACATGACCGTAAGTTCAGCTTCAAGTATTGGGCTGTGCCAAAGCATGTCATTGAGATATGGTTGTGACCTTTTTTTGTTTGTTTGTTTTTAATTCAGAATTCACATGTGAATTCGTCCTGCAGGACGACTACCTCAATTCTGAATAGTCCGTGCAATTGTTTTGATGTTCTACCTCGATTTCAATAAACATTATTCTTTCAAACAGCTTACTCTTCTACTTACATGGGAAACTGTTGAAGTGTTGAATGTGTGTTTTAGTTTCAGTGAACTTTTGATTAAATGCACATTCCTTATGAATAAAACATAACCTGTTCCTTCTTTTTCAGATAATTTCAAATAACAATGAATTAGCAATTGCATTGGATATGAATAACAATCGATGCTTAGGCTTGTGCTCTACTGTTGTACAATAATACGCTTTTCTTTTTAAATAAAATTTACTGCTTTTCCACTGCATTGCAGATATATTTTGGTCTGTTTTTGAAAATAAAGGCGAACGTAGGAGACCTTTGGGGTCCTGTCGATGGATAGAAAATAGGAGGTAATATGCGTATTTAGGCGAAAATAAGACAACTAAGGGCATAAGCAGGCAATTCCGCGGAAATTCGGCGGATATTTAAGCGATAAGTCGGTAATTTGTCGACAAAACGGCGAAAAAGGGGAAAATCCGCATTATTTCCCCCGGACAGGCGAAAAAGGCGACATTCTGATGCGTTTTCCCCTTTATTTCCCTTTTCGCTACCAAAGCATTTACCCCTTTATTTCCCCTTTGTTTGCCTTTATTTCCCCTTTTTGTGTTGCTTGGGATATAGTCCTAGTTAGTTTCTAGACATCCTCATGATCACTTTAGCGTCGCTCAAAGGTCGTCTATAAACTATAGTCTCACAGCAACTTATTATTATTATGTAATTATTACCCACCTTTTGTTAGCTAACATAGTAAGATCGCAAACCCTCAGACGAACGACATAAAGACACATCTAAACCAATGAGAGCGCGGCTTTATTTTCGACAATAGATGCACATATTCAAACTTCAAAGTTTTCTGGCTAGAAATACTAAACTATTTGTTCCTTAGGGCTTAAACTTGGGTAGCATAGGTAGGTTCTTTATATACAGAGTTTTGACCTTTGTTATGTCCGTTATGATTCCAAATCGTAAAAACACTAGTTAATAATGAGGTTAGTCGAAATATAACATTTAAATTAATCTCCATAAGTGCTTATAGAACTCAAGTAGGGATTTAGAAGATGATATCGCTTCCACTACAGGCAGTGAATTGCTTAATTTGCAGGTCCTAGCTAGAAGAAATCTTGGAATGGAATTTCATGGTAGTCACTAGCTCCACAATAACGAAACAATAGTGACAGTTATAAAGCACAGTTCCTGCTTGAATTTGCGCAGACTTTGTCTCTGTGACACATTTATAGCAATCGCATGTGAAAAGTCGAAATATGAACATTTCACCTGAGTATGTTTCATGCATTCCATTCGACAGACAGACGAAAAGAAATAGGTGTGAATTAGTTGTAGAAAAGCTAAGTAGATAAGTTATAGATCAGGAGGTCCATATGTCGGTTTAAAAATGCATAAATTACAGCGAACTAACTGGAAATTAGATGGAAGATGAACACAAGGCGTACAAATACCAGACGCTAGGTCACACAAAATAGTAAGATTGAAGGTCATATAATGGCTTACCAGGTTGTTCAAAATAAACTCAAATCTATGCGAACTTTCAAATATATGCGACTGATTGCTTGTCCGCCTGAATAACTCCTCACAATAAAAATACGAAATATAATCAATTTGGTTGCGCTAAAGAAATATTCATTGTAATTTTCCCCATTGCTTCCCAGGCTAGATCTACATGGCGACGTGAACACGAGAAAAACGGCGCGAAATATGGAAGAAACACTTTACTCCAAAGATTCGTTTATGTACAGAAAACCCAGGATTTTCATAGTTTTTTAGATGTCCTCGGGTTTCCCGAAAATTCTGGAATGCTACTAAACATGGCAGCAATCGGGGACTCGTCATGTGACTTTTCACTTTCTAGACGTTTCTGGTGAAACTTCTAGTGAACGCTGACTGAATAAGATGCTTCACAGTGTTTAAAGAGCATTTCTCGGCTTTTTTCGAGAAGTTTTCTGAATCCCTCCCTCAAGAAGGTCCAATATTGTATAACGCTTTGAAGAAGTCGTAGAATTATGGTATAGTTCGTTATTAGTACCATTATAATAATAGATCCAATCCTAAAACTTCAGATTTGTCATGACGTGAAAATCTAGTCTGAGAGATCCTACGCAGAATTCACATCATTGTCTATTCTGACTCGAAGTGCCACAAGAATCGATTTATAGTGTTTGTTGTTCCATATAACACATTTGGGCTGGAAATAGAACAATACACTTATTGTGAATAAAAGAGATAAGTTACACAAGAATGACCACGCCTACGAGGCTGAGCCATGCCATGCAATGTAATGAATATCCCTGCGTTCTCCGTTGTTGACCTTCTCCTGGTGTTAAATGTTGAGTATCTACTTCCCCATTTATCTCATGTTCATCTTTGAGGATTGTGTTGCTAAGATCGGTACCACTACAAGTCAGTTTTATCGGACATCTTCGGAAGAAGTTCAGTGTGTGGGTTGGGGAAGTTACTGTTGATTATGCGAAAGGAAATACCAGTTAAATGTAGACTGATTATTGTTTTTGCATTATGTTTGGCGTTTGTTGTTCTTAACTTGTAGGATCACCGCGAAAAGCGATTGCCAAATTTGGATACGCAGATTTATACGACTTACTATTGATGCATTCACCTGAACGAACAACTTAGAATCGCGATTGGTCTTTTTCCGGCATAGTCCTGCCTGTTTAGTACAAAGCGATAATTTCAGCCTGCGCTACATGAATCATATTTCAAACACACAGGGTTTACATGAAAAAAATCAGACCCCACCACACCATAAAATAGAACATTTGTACAAGATGTAGTCAAAATTAGCTGTGATTGTGAGAAACTGTTACTAATAATTTGGGAATATTTAAGAATGATAAATAGTATGATAATATTCAGTAGGTCAACGCAAAGCTTATAATGAAAGGAAAACAAATATACAAATAATAGTCTCTTAATAATGGTACAGTAAGAATATACGGATAATATTAGTCGATTGATAGATTCCAACAATCACTTTTCATTATTGTCGTTGGGACAAAACACTGCCGGCTCCTTTTGAGCATTAGAAATAACAAATGTCACTAGGATTTGTTTTTATTCGATTTGGTTTCGGTTTGGTGCGCTGAAACCGCCTTCGGAATGTTGTATACGTTCTCCTGCTATTCGGGTTCTTTTTAGTCTCATCACACGATTCATTTAATATGTTTAATAGCATATCCGGCCTTATGTTATTTCCTGTCCTCTACGTTGGCTTTACTACTTGGAAATCTCTAGATATTACCGCTTGTCCCACAATGAACCCTCTGGGTAATGCACTATGTCGACTACGGTGTTAGAATGTCCTTTTATAAACTGGATATCTGTTGTGAATTGAGAGATGCAATCCAGTTGTCGTGCATCATATGACGAATGTCGGTCGGATGACGTGTTAAGAGAATGACATAAAGGTTTATGATCAGTCATGGTAGTAAATTCATGTCCTTTTAATAGAAAGGTGAAATGCCTTACTGCTAAATAGATAGCTAGTAGATCGCGTCCAAATGTGCTATAAAGCTCCTGGGTTGGTGATAGTCATTAAGAGAAGGTGTTATCATGTCGTTTACTCGCTGTTGTAAAACCGCCCCTACAGCATTCTGGGATGCATTGATATAGAGAATTAGGTGAGCTGTAGGGTCAGAATTTAGATGTTGTAACATAGTTGTGTATTATATCATAGATTTTACTTTATCGAAATCCGTTTTGGGGTCAGGAAGTAATGTAAAGAGTTCACCTTTCTCCGAATTTGTTTCTTTTTTATCTAGTTTCAAAAGATCTGTTGGGGGTTGTAATGTGGCTGCGCAATTAGGTAGGAAACAACTGTAAAAGTTGCATATGCCGAGAAATCGACGCAACAGTAATAATAAAATAATAAACACATTATTACATCAGAAACCTCACAACCCTAACATAAATAAAAATGAAAATTACGCATTAAAACAGCTGAGAGAGGACAAAACGATCATAATAACGAGAGCAGATAAAGGTAATACTACAGTTATTATGAATAAAACAGAGTATGAGAACAAAGCCAAAGAACATCTACAAGAGGGTCCATATGAACAAATCAAAGAAGCGAAAAGTAGAACAACTCTTAATAAACTCAAGGCGCAAACTAGCAAACTCTTACAGTCATTAAAAGCTAAGATAGGATCGTCCTTATGGTTTATGTTTTATCCAAAGAGTTGTAATCCATGCAGATTTTATGGGCTACCAAAGATCCACAAGAATAATATTCCACTAAGACCAGTGGTAGACTATACAAATTTGCCGACTTACGATCTAGCTAAATATTTAGCTAAGATTCTCAAACCATATGAAAAACGAATTAATCATGGAATTAAAAACTCTATGGAATTCAAGAATTTAATTGATACCATCGATATAGAAGAGGATGAAATAATGGCAAGTTTTGATGTATCTTCCTTATTCACTAATGTACCTATCAGTCGAGCTATGGATATTATCAATGATTATTTAGAATCTGATTTAGATTTGAATTCACGATGCCCATTAGATCCATCAGAGGTTATAAAATGCTTAGAATTATGTTTAAGATCTACCTTATTCATATTTCGAGAGGGTATAGCAATGGGCTCACCAGTTTCTCTGATTGTAGTGAATTTATTCATGCATTCCCTAGAAACTAGTGCAATCGCAAAGAGTTTATGTCCACCAAAGTTATGGTTAAGGTATGCAGACGACATTTTTATTATCAATAAACGGGATGGTCTAGAAGAACTATTTAACAATGTAAACAGCATTTCTGAAAACATTAAACTAACTAAGGAATTAGAATCAGTTGACCACAAACTAGCATTTCTAGATTGTCTGGTTGAACGTCGACACAATAATAAGAAGTTGAAAATAAATGTTTACAGAAAATCAACGCATCTCGAGAGATACTTGGATTTTAATTCAGCCCATTCACAGAGCACGAAAATTAATGTGGTAAAAAATCTAATGAACAGAAGTACTAAGATTGTTACAGACAAGGAACACCAACGAACCGAATTAAGTAAAGTATTTTCTACTCTTAGGGATAACAACTACCCAAAAAGGGTTTTAAAAAAGATTATTAAAAATGAAAGAAAAACTAAACTAGAAAGTATACGAAAAGAATGGAAGTACACCGTAGTCATACATTACCGGAGTGAAACATCAGAAGAAATCAAACGGATTCTAAACAAACATGATATAAGAGTGTATTTTAGAGCAAATAACACATTAAGATCGACATTGGTGAAAGTTAAGGACAAGTTAGCAAAGGAAGAACAACAGAACATTGTGTATGAGATTCACTGTCATGACTGTAATGCTACCTATGTTGGAGAAACATCCAGGCAATTAAATGTAAGATTGAAGGAACACAAACAATGCTTGAAAAATGTTCCAAAATCCTCGGTAGATTTAAAGAAACTTGAAAATAAGTCAGCGATAGCGTTACATGCGTTAGAAACAGGACACAAGATTAATTTTGAAGGGACCAAAATACTTCAGAAAGGTTTAAACACCCATAAAGAAAGATTGACAGCAGAAGCTCTGCATATATGGGCGAACAGGAACAGCCTGAACCGAAAAGATGGTATTCAAATGGCAACTACCTGGCAAATTTCGTTTGACAAGTAAATTTGGAACCTATCTCTTGTTTAAACCTGTTTTTAATATCACATGCATCGTTATTATTATTGAAAGAACTGAATGAGTTTTTAAACCATACAATTTATGTTTTGACATGCACATCGATCTTTCATTATCAAGTTTTTCATCCTTGAACTTGAACTTTATTTAT